AGCATTTTCACTTTCTCCAAGCCAAAAATAAGTTTATAGATTTGTGCTGAGCCAATTAGCATTGCAAATCTAAAATCATTCATTTGGAATTTAACCACACAATCCTTTGAAACAAACAAGAAGGGGTTAGCATTCAATCATATTTTTCTAAATTAAACTATCAAACCAACCTTGTAGCCTCATCTAAAGGTGGAGACACCTTGCAGCAAAATGGGTGACAAATAAATAAATAAATAAATAAATAAATAAATAAATAAATAAATAAATAAATACTTCTCGGACATCATCCAATTGAATATTACTCTGAATGCTTTACATCTTTTCTCATGCGCTGTGTGATTATAGAGAGAAATACAGCGGCCATTACAACATTTTATTTGAAGCTAAGTGTGTACCTCATCCAGTTTTAAAAATGTATGTTGTATTTGCACAGTCAGTATGGTGCAGCAGTGTCCTCCGGCAGTGTGTTGCAGCTACCGAAAAAGTCAATGCAGCCTTAGGCTGCATCAACAGAGGAACAGTATCAAGATCATGTGAAGTGTTAGTACTCCTTTATATTGCACTGGTAAGACCATACTTGAAATACTGTGTCCGGTTCTGGTCACCTTGATAAAAAAAGATGCTGAAACTCTAGAAAGAGTGCAGAGAAGAGCAATTAAGGGAGTAGAGACTAAACTGATAAACAGTTGCAGGAACTAGGAATGTCTAGTACAATTGTGGGCAATTAACTTTTCCAAGGGGGCACATGAAAAACTGAAACTGTTGTGGAGGTCTGCCAATGCCCTGCTATCTGCCAATGCCACCTGCCCTCCTGCTGACACCGCCCCAATACCCCATCCTCACACCAATCTGGTCTATGGGGCATAAAAATGCCCAAGTCTAATCTAGTCCAATGAAGAGAAGGATTAGGGGTGATATGATAGCAGTTTCCAGTACATGAAAAGTTGTCACAGAAAAGAGAGGGTATACCTATTCTCCAAAGCACCTGAGGGCAGGACAAAAAATAATGGGTGGAAGATTATCGAAGAGAGATCCAGCTAGAGTTAAGGAGAAATTTCCTGTCATTGCAAACAATTAATCAGTAGAACAACCTGCCTCCAGTAGTAGTGACTGCTCCTTCACTGGAGGTTTTAAGAAAGAGATTGGATAGCCATTTGTCCAGAATGGTATAACATCTTGAGAAGGGGGGTGGACGAGAAGACCTCAAAGGTCCTTTTCAATTCTGTATCTGTTCTGTATTCAGTCCTATCTTCTCAAATGAAGAGATTGTTTCATTGCCTTTTCAGTAGGAAACCACAATATGTCCATTTGTCCACTAGATGTCAGAGTTATCCCATCTTTTCAGCTTTAATGTACAGGTAGTCCTTGAGTTACGACCACAATTGGACCCAAAATTTATGTTGCTAAGTGAAATATTTGTTAAGTGAGTTTTGCTCCATTTCCTTGCCACAGTTGTTAATAACACGGTTGTGAAGAAAATCTGGCTTCCACATTCACTTTGCTTCTCAGAAAGTAGTAAAAGAGGATCACATGATCCCAGGACACTGCAACCCTCATAAATATGAGTCAGCCCCCAAAGCATCTGAATTTTGATCATGTGACCATGGGGATGTGTGAAAAACGGTCATAAATCTCTTTTTTCAGTGCTGTTGTAAATTCAGTCACTAAATGAACTGTTGTAAGTTCAGGACTTCCTGCAATGTATAATTTTGAGTCCTTGTGATCTCACAATTCTTGTGAACAAGAATTACATTGTTAATTTAAAAAAGACACCCACACAATTTCTAATTAAACTTCTTTGTTTTCTCCTTTCTTCAGATTTCCAGAGATGCTGCTGAGAAGACATAGGTAAAAGAGTCATTGCTGGGTTGAGAAGCACTGATATAGTGATTCCATCCGGCTTATAACAATCTGAAAGTTGGGACAAGGAAAAATATCAAATGATTTTTTTTAGACATTTTCCAGTCACTAATCCTCGCTGCAGCGGTTTTTAGGATATGATAGGAAAAGGGTAGGGAGACTAAGTCAGAAACCACATTTTTATACCAGCTACTATGGGAGCCTTTCAGAGGTGGTATTCAGCAGGTTCTGACCAGTTCTGGAGAACCACTGGTGGAAATTTTGAGTACTTCGGAGAACCGGTAAATACCACCTCTGACTGCCCCCTGCCCCCATCTATTCTCTGCCTCCCAAGCCCCAGCTGATCTGGAGGAAATGGGGATTTTGCAGTAACCTTCCCCTGGAATGGGGAGGGAATGGAGATTTTACAGTATCCTTCCCCTGCCATGCCCACCAAGTCATATCCACAGAACCAGTAGTAAAAAAAAATCGAATCCCACCACTGGAGCCCTTCTACTTAAAAATAACAATTTGATTCCCCGAGAAATTTCATATTGCTACTAGATAAAGAAAACCCTTTTTACAACTTTCTATTTATACAATCCTAAAAATGAAAAGGAAAAAAAAATTGTTTAATCCAGAGTACCTTCACACAAGCTCTTGGCTCTGGTTTGAGCCAAGAGGCCAATGTAGTACTTTGGTTCCAATTTTGAGAGATGAATCATTTCCACCTCCCTATTTCAGTTTATTTGAAACCAGGAGGGTTTGAATCTGGTCCATATTTCCATTTGTGGAAAATCTCAAATCCTCTTGCCTTCTGGCTCCTAGACTCCCATCTCCTGTGCCATTTCCCCATCACCACCAATATGGTGTTACTACAATTTCTGAAGCTTTTATTTCCAAAGGTAACCCTTGCTTAAGGACAGCCCGGTTAGTGATTAAACAATCACGATGACAGCACTGATGAATGAGACTTACAACTGGACCTTGCACTATGACTATTGCCGCGAGTTATCCAGATTCAGATACTTCGCAACTGATGGGCATTTACATCTGTTGAAGTGTCACATGGTCATTTCTGCCATTGGTATGCTTCACAACAGACTTCTGACAAGCAGTCAATAGCGAAGCCAGCAGTAAAATTGCAAGTCACAGTCACGTAATGTCTTGCTTATAGCCTGTGGATCAGAGGCGGTATTCAGACGGTTCTTCAAGCAAACTGGTAGTGGCTGCTGCGGGAGGCTCCACCCACCCATCCCAACATAATGCGCAAGCAGTGGACATGCACACAAGGCGGTGCACATGTGCAGACGAGCGCGCTCACATTTGCAAACCAGTAGGGAAGGTAAATGAATCCCACCTCTGCTGTGGATGATTGGCTTAGTGACCACAGAAGAAATGGTTGTAAGTTCAATGCAGTCGCATGTTTCATTTAACAACCACATTGCTTAATGATGGATTTTCTAGTCCTCAAAACAATTAAGTGAAGACAGCAGTAGAATGGTATAGCAAGGTAGTTTGCCTTTCCATCTCATAGCAGCATCTGAGCTAATCAGGGGTTTTGTTTCAATGTGCAGTGCAGACAAATGGACTTTTGTTAGCCTGAGGGCCATGTCACCAATTGCACATTTTTTGCAATACTTCTATTGATCCGCTTGAGTTGATTAGTATATTGTGCAAACGTAGCAAAACCTTTGCCTAATCTGTTCCTTCTAGCCAAGCCCCTCAGATGTAATTATTTTGAAACTGTCTTCTACAACAGCAATCCAGCTCTGCTGACACATCTTTAAAAATGCAGAAGTGCTTTGCTGTTGCTTCCTTTAACATTCCTGTGATTTCAGGACTGTCCTTCCAAATATAACCGGCTTTGATCTGATTAGCTTTGAACACAAACACTGTCAGTCGAGTAGCAACACCTTCTTCTTCTTCTACTTGTGCCGTATCTGTCACTGGACATTGGCAATCATGTCGGCAACCCTATTTTTGTCAACAGCCACCACAAAAAAGTGTTGCCAAGCTTTGTCCAAACCAGTCCCTTAGGTTTTGAAGTCATGGTGTTCTTCTTCTGCCTGGACCTCGTTTGCCTTGAATTTTTCCCTGGAGGATTAAGTGAAGGATGTATTTTCCTGATGTTATATCATATGTCCAAAATACTCTAACTTTCTTTTTAATAATGGCTTTGATGATTTCCCTTTGCTTTCTCAGGCGGCTTATCACCTCCTCATTTGTGATTTTGTCAACCCATTTTATACTAAATCCACATTTCAGCCTACTGTTTAAAAATCCTATTACTGTACTAGGCACAAGGCCCCGCCCTTTAACGACTCTTGTCTCCCGTTGGTCCCAACGTTTCTATGTACTCCTTCTAGAGAAACAAGCGCTCCACTGTCCCCCCTTATTCCAATTCAGTGAATCCATTGGATGCAACTCAAACACCCGCCTTGCCAGGGCCGATCTTGTTTTCAAGAAAGTACCTTATTGGCCGAGCAAAGGAAAAAAAAAAGGCTCCTTGGATACACCCGCCCCCAAGCGAGTTTTGATTGGCGAGGCTGAGCTGTCACAGAAGGAAAGTGCTGGCCCCCTTGCTAGCAACGATGGGCTGTTGACGCTGATCCGGCGTCGCGCGGCGGGCAGGTTCGTTGCCTCGAATGGGGAGGGAGGAGAGCGGCGCGTGAGGGTCGCCTGGCTTCCCTCCCTCTCTCCCTCCCTCGGAGTGCGCGTGCGCGTCCCCTATCCACCGGTACGCCGCGATCCTTTTCACGAGGGCGCCCGCCGGGAGGAGCTGCCGCAGCTGCATCGACCCAACTCCGCCCAGATTGGGCAAGCAGAGCCCTACGTCGCAATTCGTTGGGGTTTCCTTTCCATTCGGTTACGGGGAAGAAGCAGGGCGGCGAGGAGGAGAAGGACTATTGCGGGTGGGAGAGGATTAGCAACAGCTGCCCGCCTTGGGTTAGGGAGAGCCTTATTGCTTGCTTGACTTGTGTTGCAGGTACTGCAGGTAGAGTAGAGAGAGCGACTGTCTCCAATTCTGTGCATGTGGAGGACAAACCCAGTTCATCCCCTGCTAGCATGGGCAGGAGTGACGAGATATTCGAGAATAGCAGTTTGGGAATAAGACTCTAGGATGTTGCATGTTGTGGGGGGGGGGGCGCAGAGGAAGAGGAAGGGTAGCATTTGAGAAGAAGTCAGCATTAGATGGCAGAGGAGATATGGGACTGTGCCTATTGGTCTCAGCAGGTAACTGGCAATTGCCAATCTAAGTATTCTTAGATAAAAAGAAAAACCAGAAAGTCCAGTTGCCTCATGAGAGAGAGTGAGAGGGGGGGCACCTTTGGGATATTCTTTAATAAGTAACTAAGCTTTCTATGGGGAAATGAGTTACTGATATGGCTAATTTGGGGAGTTGGTTTTCTCTTTGTAAAAAATGGAGATGGAGTGAGGTGTTGCTATTTGAGTGTATGATCCAATATGATGGGTTTGTAGCTGGTTGGGGGATGCAGGATACTTTGAAAAGTTAGAGGTTAGAATATGATGTTGGGGTTGTGGGTGGCTTAACTGGCATTGTCATCATGCTGTCTGAGGGTGATGGGAACTATAATCAAATACATCTGGGGAAATTCAGGTTTGGATAGAATAGGTTAGGAGGGAAGGATTAACAATGACAGTAGCTGTGCCAAAGAAATGGAGCAGGAAAGAGGAAAGGTAGGGTAAACATATCATTTTAGAGGGAGGGGAGGATTGCAGTTCCATGAAAAAGGAAAGCTTGCATCAGTTGACAGAGAGATTGGATTGGGTCATACTACTTTTAAGGAGGCAAACAAACTGTGTTTGTGTCAGGAAAAATGGCTTTCCAGATATCTCTGCATGAAGTAGGAATGCAGTAAGGATATCTCAGTGTTTTGTTCAAGACATTGCACAGTAAGGAAAGAAACGGGGAAAATATATTTCATTATTTTACAGATTCCCCAATCCTTCACACCATGCAAGTGGCTGAGGATGCCTGCACCCATTTGGAGGATGAACTGCTCTGTGAGTTACATGTAAAATTATTTTCAACACTTTCAGAGTATCCACAGCCCATTTTTTAGCAGAAAAATCCACAGTATTTACTAGAATAGTCATTTATTCACCAGTGTCTCACTGATTGAATAATAAGCTGTTTCCCACAAATCACCAAATTACCCATTTCTAGCCTATTGTATGGAGGGAGGGAATGAAAACAAGAACAATTAAGTTTTGAAAACATTCTCTATATTATGATACTCTGAGTTTAGGTGAGTGGTTGGTTTGCACACTTGCTAATTCTGCTTTTGCTTCATCTCTAGGTAATGATGGGGAGGGGGGATACTTGGGCTGTGTAGACTTTGAAAATGATGTGGGGAAAAAACTACAAAATCCCTGTGAGCATAGCACTACTCTGCTGTTATTAAAGCAGCATTACATTTTAGAAAGTTTGAAAACAAAATGCAGCTTTATTAACAGCATATTAACAAATAAACTGACTCTTTAAAGCAGTTGTTTTTTTCAGACTTGTTAGAATCCTGAAAAAAGATGAGTTTTAATGACTAGAAGAGAAATACTATGCTTGCCCTTGTCTGAGATCTGAGTCATTTCTTTTGGATCATTTTAAAAGCAGGCACATTATGAACAAAAAGTTCACAATCTTATTGATATACATATCCTGACACAAAAATACAGATGGTTGTTTGTCCTATATAAGAGAAAGAGGGTAACAAGTCACAATGCTCCCCCAGCTCAGTACATAGGATGTACAAAAGATATAGGAGCTGTAATCCGTCTTTTTCTATCCTTTAAATATGCCAGGAATTCTGAGAATTATAGTTTTAACAAATAAAGAAGTCTTACAGGTGAAGAATGCCAGCAGAGAATGAGGGAATGGACATAATAAGTTTAGAACATACTTCAAGCACCATCTTATATGGTTATAGACAGGAAGCTATCCCTAAACAGGCTCAAGCTGGTGCACAAGGTGTACTCTTCTTTCCAAGATTTTCTAAGTTTAGCTTAGGCCATTTCATTTTCCAAGGAAAAATCTCTCAAATCAAGTGATCTGACAGGCATCATGACAGGATCTTCTCGAAATCATGTGAAGATTGCATTTGTTTATTTGTTGTTTCCTAAATCAGGCATAGTCTTTCCTGCCTGTTCAGCATGGCTCTGTTGCTTAGATGAAAAGTTTAAAGTTGGTGAGGGACCTATCAGCAGTTGAGGGGTACTCATTTCAAAAATTTTAAAGGGTGAGCCAAAAGTTGTGATGAACAAAACAGCGATGAAGTTAAGTCTCTCCCATGCTAAATCTAGAAGAAGACTGAAACATTTTGTTGCTTATTTATTTTGTATAAGAAAATGAGAAATCATAACTCAGCATTCAATAGGCCACAGATTACTGACCCATGATTTAAAGGAGACACGCCTAGAAAAGAGGGTGTAAAGTAAGTATTGTAAGTATATACTGTAATAGTCTTATGGCATATTCATTTATCACCGATTTCCCCAGATTATGCTGTACGTTGTATGTTCTTTGCTATTTTTGAGCATGCCCCAGCATACAGAACTCCCTCAAGACCCAATTTTTTAAACTTATCTTTCTTCCCTTACAGTCTGTGAAGACTGTCGTCTTTATTTCCGCGACTCCTGCCCACAACATGGACCCCCCACCTTTGTGGCTGACACACCTGTTCCAGAAAGAGCTCCATCACGGGCACTGCTGTCCCTGCCTGAGGGACTTCTGGTCAAGGAGCGTTCCCAAGGAAGCTTTGGAGTGTGGAATGCACTCCCAGCCCTACCTCGTGGCTGCATCTTTGGGCCCTATGAGGGGGAAGTGGTCCGAGAACATCGTGACTGCACCCGTTATTCTTGGGCGGTAAGGAACACCCAGATACACAACACTCCAACCAGGCCATCACAATACACAACCCTTGGTGTCTATGTTAGCTAATAACAGACTTCAGCTGATTATTTTTTTTCTTGATTTTGGAATTGTTGACTATGAGAAGATTTGCCCATTTTTTCTTGTGTGTGTTTGTTTCAGTACAGTTAATCCTCAACTTATGACCACGTGCTGAGATATTACAAAAGACACATACACACCCCACAAAGTGTACTTACTACCTAGTTCCAGTGGCTGCCCCTGTGATCACATGAACACATTTTAGGCACATTTATGACTATTTGCAGCCTCCTGTAATCACACGACCATCATTTATAATGTTTTTTCCAAAACCTAGCATTTACTTCTGGTTTTCAGCAAAAGCACAATAGGTTTGCTTAGTGACTGTGGCATTTATTAACAATTGTAGATTCACCTAATGACCAGAGAGTGTCACTTAACAACTGCCAGAAAAAATATTGAGTTAGTCACATGATGACATGCTTTAAGCTGTCATGACTTAGGACTGTAATGGGCAGGCTCTAACATGGTTATAAATCAAGGACTCCCTGTGTAAAAAATTGGGAGATGAGTGGACTGACACTTCTTGATAAGGACTATAGTATTGTGCAACTTCTATTCCTTGTTCATAGAATAGTTCCAGATATCACTGATGTCAATTTAATCTATGCTTACATCACCGCTTTTTGCTTTTAGATTTACCTCAGGAAAACCTTGTGATAATATTTCACCACCATAGTCATCTGGTAGAACTTTGTAAATCCTTTTATTTGAAAAAAAGTGTTCTTGGATAAAATGTAATTTCTATAAATGCCTGGGAGCAAAAAATAGTAGTATTGGAAGTGGAAAATAATATTGCCATTCTGGCTATATGTGCGTGGTATCTGTCGCCAATTTGAATCCACCTCCTTTTCCCAATTTAACCCCTAGCCTTATTTCCTTCAGCAGGTGGCTTCAGTCATCCTCTAACTTCAGTTTCCCACAACCTTAATTGAGATATTGGGATGAAAAACAAGAGGTTTGAATCTATCTAACTTACTGCCACCAAAAGTTAGCTACTGGTTTATAACAGGAAATAGGAATTAAGGGGTTAGCATATATTTCCAGAGCCCCCTCTCAAACCCAGATTTGGCCATGGAAGTAAAATGAATGGGATAATGTACAAGCTGAAGATAATGTGTGTGTTCTTAACGGCATGCATTAAAGTTGAGATGTCTTCAAGGAGATCACTTTACAAACTGCCCTAAATCATAGTTGATTAGTTCTTAATTGCAATCTAGTACATTATCCACCACAAAAGAGATCCAGTGTGGCATCAAAGCTATTTCATTAGTCTTAAATCAGAGAAATCCAGATTCAAATTTCTGTACATAGGAAAGTTTGATCCTGAGCCAGGCCTTATCACTTTAATAAGTTTTCATAGATTTTAAGTGGTGGATGAAGTTGAATCTGCCATAATGAACCCTTTGGTCAAAGTATGGGATAAAAATATAAGAGTTTATCTTTTCGCCAGGGGTGGGCTCCTGCCAGTTCTAACCTCTTCTATAGAAGAGGTTCCACAAGTCTACAGTGCTGTTTAGAACCGGTTCCAGCTCCCTCCCCCCGCCTGCCCACACATCATCAAGATGAAGAGCGAGAGGAAGAATTTTGGGAGTTGAAGTCCACAAGTCTTAAAGCTGTCAGGTTTGAACACCCCTGGAGTTTTTTTTATAAAGATTTAAGGGTGCAAGGGTCTTGTAACTTGACAGCTTTAAGACTTGCACACTTCAATGCCAGAGTTCCTGAGCCAACATGACTGGAGGAGGAATTCTGGGAGTTGAAGTCCACAAGTCTTAAAGCTGCCAAGTTTGAACACCCCTGGTTTTTTTTCTAAAGGATTAGGGGTGCAAGGGTCTTGTAACTTGACAGCTTTAAGACTTGCGTGCTTCAAATGCCAGAGTTTCTGAGCCGACATTTTGGTTGTTAAGCAAGAGCGTTGCTAAGTGAGTTTCACCCCATTTTACAAGTTGCCATGCCCACCCAGTCACATGACTGCCAAGCCACACCCACCCGGTCACATGGCCAGCAAGCCACTCCCACCTGGGCACATGGCCGGCAAGCCACTCCCACAAAGAAGGCCACACCTACAGAAGAGGTTCTGAAAAATTTTGAAACCTACCACCCCTTTTCACCAAAGTAATGTTAGATCCAGAGATGCTGCATTTTAATTACCATCCACAAGCAGACAGCCAATTTCCTTGGAGATAACCAAGTTGAGGAAAGATCTCCCACTGGCATTTCATATTGGTTCTTTTTTTATTCTGAACTGAGATTCCTTCTCCACTCCCAAGATTCAGTTCCCACAACCCTCCCAAGTATCTTTGGTTCTTAAGTCTAATTTTCAAACTGTCTGCAAGGGATTGTTTCAGACTTTCAGCAAAAATAAATTATTTGTCTCTCAGCAGAAAAGGGTAAAGAGTAGAAATGGGTGTTCCGAAGACAGATATACAAAAAGATGTCAGGGAGAAAAATGCTATGTTTTAGCTCAGGGTGTTTCAATTGCTGCCTTTGGTCATGTCCCTTGCTTGCCCAGAAACTCTATCAAATAATTCCTGCAGACAGAGGGGAAAAATCCATTGCTGTATTACATGAAAAATGTTGCTGCATTTTTCAGCTTGTTTTCTTTTCAGCAGTGATCAATCAGTCTGTGCAAGGAATAGGCAGACCTAATCGTTTCTTCTTTTGTGGAAGGGAGGGAGGGAGGAGGAAGAATTTTCTTCAAGTTATTTGGGGAAGAATGGAAACAAAAGATTCTTTCTCTTTCCAGGTTAGATTTTGTGTGAAACCCATTGTGTTTACTGAGTAGGTCTGCATCATCACCAATAAAATCCCGTGATTCTGAAACATTTTGGGGTAAAAAGGGTGAACTATCCATCCTCCCTGGGCATCAAAACTATGCAACTTTCTTTAGGTCAAGAACCTCATCACTGTTGATGGTGTGGTTAGAATCAAAATTGCAAAAGAGACAGGCCACATAGAACTATTTTAGATGAGATGAGAGATTTTAAAAAATGAACTTTTATTTTTTTATTTTTATTTTTTCATTTATATTCCACCTCTTTTATTTTTACTAATAATTAAAGATGGTGAACATATCTGACACATCTTCCCGATATTTCCCCCATAATATCAACCCTGTGAAGCAAGTTGGACTGAGAGAGAGGGGGGAGAATGGGGGGAGGGGAGACTGAGCCAAGGTTACCTGCTGGCTTTCATAGCTAAAGTGGGATTTGAACTCACAGACTCTTGCTTTCTAGTGCCTTAACCATAATTGGTTAAAACTACCATAGTTATATGTTACTAGTTTTAAGTTAGTTCATGCATTTTAAAATATACCCACACCCTTTTATAATGATCCATCTCCCTTCACATAGCCCAAGTGCCTGATTTAAAATAATATGTGAATAAAGCCTCTGCTATGGTACTATTCTCATACAGTATTTATATCAACACATAGTCATAGACACAGGTTATGACAGGGTGGACCTAAGACAGCTTGGAGGCTTAGTGGCGATGGGCAGCAGTTTCTAAGAGAGGATAAAGGCCACATTTGACTTCTTGATGAGATGTACGAAGTCCTTATGCTGTACACCCACCAGAACTATGCAGCCCACATGCCATTCCAGCTCCTTTTTGGTCTGCTCATAGCGCATCCTGAACAGAATAAAACATTTGGGCCTCAAGAGATAAAATGGATCTCTTAAGCCCCAAAGCCCTCTGAAAATGGCTCTGTACCTTGATGTGGGCAGCTCAAAGTATCCATTTTTCCTGAACACGTCAATGGCATCCACTCCAATGACATCACCAGGCTACCATCTTGTAGAGGCCACCAAAAAAAAGGTGCTCAGCCTGGCCTCCCAAGGTTTTCCGATCCTCTCCTTAGCTTAGATTCCCAACAACCTCAGAAAGATAAGATGCTTCTGGGGAAGAGCAGGAATTTAACAGAGGAATCCTGCCAGTCAAAGCACTTTGTATATATATTTCTTATATCTTTTTCTTTTGCTATTTCTGTTTTTTCCCCTTACCCTTAAGAGACAAGTAGTTGCTCGGTGTCTTCTGCTTGGTCGCACTGAGGATCCCATGAGAATACACACAACTTAGGCTGGAAAAGAGTAAAAGAAGTTTGTGGATTTGAATCTGGGATTGCCAGTCCAAAGCTCACAGCTTTTCCCCTACACCACATTGCCACATTTAAGTTTTGTGTTTTCAGGCAAGACCCTCCTTTTCTCTCCCCACACCCCACTTTTAACTTAAAAAGTGTAGAATTCAAGAGAAAGAGGAGAGTTCCCAGAATGTTTTTATAAGACGAAGAAGGAAACAAAATGCAGGCAAACAAATGATTTACCATTTAAACCAAATACTAGGAAACCTTGTCATGCTGTCTTGCAGTTGCCTTTTGAAGAGGAAGCTTGAAAATGTATATCTGCAGGATCTTAAGAGCTGCATTGCCATTAGCAAGTCCACACCCTTTCCCCGAAAATACTGCAAGCCTTTATGACAGTTCAGAAGTGGGGTGGGTGGAGTGGATGCTGACAAGTGCCAGCGAGCTCATATATCCCAGATAGAAAACAATGGACTCTGATCACTCATGGTTTACGGCATTCCTTTCAAAGAATACAGCTGTGAAGAAGGATTCGGGGATTGTGAGTAACAAATACAAAATCAATTTCCCCAATAAACTGAGTGAGTAGACAAAAGCTCATAATGAAGTGAAGGGAGGGCTGAAACTCTGCTGGGTTTCAGCAATTGGTAGAGGATAATTTACAAAGGGTTTGGTGTTGCAATTGATTATCAATCACAAGAACAAAATGGTTCCTTCCTCCCTTTCTCCAGTTCACTGCTGAGACATTCTCATCTGTGCTGGATGTTCATTTGTATCTGAATATGCTGTGAGGACTTGAAGTGGTACAGTTTTCTGAACAATACTTGTAAGCTGCCATTTCACATCTACCTTTGCCTCCCTTGGCCACTACTCTGTGCATAGCTTGCTGATGAACCTTGGTGTTACAATAAATAACATTAATATATACCGATAATTCTCCTAGCAGTCTGATTTCCCTATTTCTGCCTTAAGATAGATGGAGTTTTTCAGATCCACTCCAGATGGCACTCTTTGCCTCATTAGCCAATGTTTTTACTTTGGCTATAGGTTATCTACAACCAGCTTAAAATCTCAATCAAATTCTAAAATAAAGGTAGAACTTGTGGGGTTGATTGGATCTTTCTATTCCTTCCATTCTCTCTGCAGGTTCGGAACAATGGGTCCTATTTTTTCATTGATGCTTCTGATGATTCCAAATCCAACTGGATGAGGTGAGCATCTTATGAGAGAATCCCAGTAGAAACCTGAAGGGGAAATCACCACTATCTCAATTGTTATGACATTTGCAGAAACCGAGATCCATGAAACCTCTGGAACCACTAGATAGCAGCCCAGGGAGAAAACAAATAATTGCCAAATTGTCTTAAGATATTGCATATGATCTCACTTGAATCTTGTGAGATGTTGGTGATTTATGAGAGGACATAGAGGGAAGAATAGGGATAAATGGGATTTTAGTTTTTTAAGAAAGAGAGAGAAATGTGAATGCTTAACTCTCATTTTGTTATACCAAATTTTATGGCATAGTTATGGCATAAAAGCACATATTTGCCTCACCCTTGTGGCTTCAATCCAAACACTTATCACATTTGTTCCTTGGAGACTCCAAATGAGCCTAATGCTTTTTTTAAAGAAAAAGCTGCTTCCTTAGTCATAGGAGAGTCCTTAAATCCACTAGGCCTGTAGTTCCCTTGAGACATACTCTGCAATTACTGCTAGTATAAAAACTAAGAATATGTTTCCTCCCCCAACTCTGGTGACTCATCATCCCTGTTCTCCATGCAGATATGTGGCATGTGCCTCCACTGAGGATGAGCAGAACCTAACTGTATTCCAATACCGAGGTTACATCTACTACCGAGTCTGCCAAATTATACCTGCTGACACAGAGCTTCTGATCTGGATTGGAGAGGAATATGCTCGCACTCTAGGACTGCGTTTGGGTAAGTGAAAGAGTAGAGGGGAAGAGGGCTAATGGCAACTCCCTCCCTGCTTCCCTCAGTCTTAGCAGCCATATAAGTTTTTCTAAAAGAATCCACCACCTGGGTTAAACCACTGTGGCTAAGGCACCAGACTAGAAATTGTGAGGGAAGCCATGACAGGCCCAAAGATGCCCAGCTGGCTTTCATGCCTAAAATAGGAAGTAACTCATCTCTTGGTGACTCTGAGTGTTAGTCCTACCTTAGGCATGAAAACCAGCAGGGTGTCTTTGGGCCTGTCACGGTTTCCCTCAGCCCATGACAGTAGGATTGGGTGACAGACCTGTTGGTCAATTCCTGTCACCACCAATGAATTAACACAGTAGGAAAAAAAGCAGACCTTGCACTAATGAGAAAAGGAAGAAAGTGTATAATGGCCAAAGTGACCCCAGTGGTGGTAGTTAGCACTTGGGACTGTGATTCCTAAGGGGGCAGAGTGGTTCCAGCAGATCTCAGGAACAACATCAGAGCTCTCTGTCCAGAAAAATCCAGTGCTAGCAGCAACTAAGATATTACACAGAACCCTCAAACTCCCGGGCCTCTAGAAGGGGATCTGAAATTAAGAAAGACACATACCACACATAAAGTTGAGAAGGGAGATTTCTGTCTGCCTATGTATTTATATCTAGCTATCTTCTAGCTATCATACTAACCAGATCGTTGGACTCATACACTACTACTACATGTCAAGTAGTACCATATGGTGTATGTCAGTTCACCATTATTAGTGATATCTTCTATCAGAGATTGGTAACCATCAGAGCTATTTGTTCTTAGGTTTCTTTTACACCCTTGGACCGTGATAAGCCTCCCAGGGATGAGAGACCCTAGGCTATATTGTTTTCAACCATTTTCCTAGGAAAATAATATTGCAATGGTTTTCTATTGCTTTCTGCAGTAAATTGTCTCAGCTATAGGAGGAAAAAAGAAACTTCTCACAGTGTATTGTGTTTTTCAGAGTATAAGGCACACCTTTTCCCCCCCAAAAAGAGGGTGAAAATCTGGGTGCGTTTTATACTCCGAATGTAGCCCCACCCATTCGCTCTGTGCATCACATTTTTGGACGGTTCCAGGCGGCGGGGATCCTCACTCCCACTCGGTTTTTGATAACAAGCAGCACAGATCTTTTTATCCATTTAAAACAAACCCTATCACCCTACGCGCATTTAACTGGAGTCGGTGGGATGGGGTTGAGGATGATTTTCATGGGGGCAGAAGAGGGACTTGGCACTGAAGGCTCCACTCCCAAGACACCCCCATCCTTCTACCTATAGCCTTAGGTGTTGAAAGCCTGGCTTTCTCACAGCAAGGCCCAATAGAGGTGCAGCACTTGCTGGGAAGCCCGGCAACGTGTTTACGAGATGACAGAGTAAACTGTCATCCACGCCGTCTGGAACCACCTGAAAACCTGAGGCACAGAGGTTGCCATGGTCTGTGGTAATCCCTGCAGCCTGGAACAGATGATTGGGGGTATTCCACCCCAATCAACTCCTCCTGCTGAATCAGGCGGCAGTAACGTGCTGAAACTGACCAGGCCATTTCTGTTTGCTGCAAGGACACTAGCCAGATGAATACTGATGGCTGCTGGTAGGCAGAGGCAGAATTTTTTTTTCCTGTTTTCCTCCCCCAAAATTAAGGTGCGTCTTACACTCCAAAAAATACGGTAATATTTCTTCCCCTCTATTTCTCTATTAGTAATTGTGTTCAAATATATCCATTGCCCTCACAATTCAGCCAAGGGTAAATTTAATATAGAAACGGACAAACTCCGGTTAACTTGCAAGGTTTTGAAAGAGATCAGGTGGGTCTCTGAAGAAAGTTTTGCCCCTTCCTTGCTGTTTATTATGGAAGAGAGAGAAAATAAGAAGTAATGACCTTGCTCACATAACATGAATGATCCGATTATTTATTCTCCAAGTTTGTTTTTTTGTTTGTTTATTGGATTTATATGCCTCCCTTCTCCCAAAGGACTTAGAGTGGCGTACAACATAAAACGCATATTACATAAGTTAAAAAGGAAAATTAAATAAAGTATCCAAAAACAAACTCAATTAATATTAATAAAATTTTAAAAATTAGATAAAAATTAACAGTTAAATTAATCATTTATTTTATTCTGTTCAGGCCAGGCTGGCTTGCTGGAAAAGCGAACTTTTTAGGGCGCGTCGGAAGGACCGGAGGTTGGGGATTATGCAAAGTTCTGGGGGCAGCTCATTCCAGAGGGAAGGTGCTCCCACAGAGAAGGCTCTCCCACTGGGAGTCACTAGCCGACACTGTCTGGCCGACGGCACCCTGAGGAGGCCAACTCTGTGGGATCGCACTGGATGGTGGGAGGCTACTGGTAGCAATAGGTGGTTTCACAGGTACCCTGGGCCTAAGACATGGGGCGCTTTAAAAGTCATAATTAGTACCTTGAATCGCACCCGGAAAATAATAAGCAACCAGTGCAGGCTGCCTAAAAGGGGTGTAACATGGGAGCACCTAGGTACCTCCATGATAACCCGCGTGGCCGCATTCTGGACCAGATGAAGCCTCCAGGTGCTCTTCAAGGGCAATCTCATGTAGAGAGCGTTGCAGTAGTCCAGGTGAGAAAGGACGAGGGCATGAGTGACTGCACAGAGCATCCCGATCCAGGAAGGGGCGCAACTGACGTACCAGGCGAACCTGGTAAAAGCCCCCCTGGTCACGGCCGTCAGGTGTTCTTCTAAACTAAGCCTCAAATCCAGGAGGATGCCCAGATTGCTGGTCCTCTCTGAGGGGGCTAAAATTTCTCCCCCTATCATCAAAGATGGAACAAGATGCACAAATCAGGATGACAGAAACCACAGCACTGAGTCTTGGAGGGATTGAGCTTGCGCCTGTTCCTCCCCATCCAGATCCGCATAACCTCCAGGCATCGGGACATCATGTCGAGGGCATCGTTTGGGTGGTTTGGGGTAGAGATGAAAAGTTGGGTATCATCAGCATTATGATGATACCATACCCCAAAACCATGGATGATCTCGCACAGCAGTTTCATATATATGTTGAACAGGAGGGGTGAGAGAACCGACCCCTGGGGCACCCCACAAGTGACATGCCTCGGGGTCGATACCTGTCCTCCAGTCAACACAAACTGCGACCGATCCGACAGGTAGGAGGAGAACCACCGTAAAACGGTGCCCCCCACTCCCATCCACCCCCGAGTCGTCGCAGTAGGATACCATGGTCAATGGTATCGAAAGCCGCCAAGAGGTCTAATAGGACCAGGACAGAGGAGCAGCCCCTGTCCCGGGCCCGCCAGAGATCATCAACCAATGCGACCAATGCCATCTCCATGCTGTACCCAGGCCTGAAACCCAACTGAAACGGATCCAGGTAGGCAGCTTCATCCAGGTACTGGGGAAGCTGACATGCTACCATACTCTTGACAACCTTCGCTACAAAGCGAAGGTTGGAGACTGGACGATAGTTGGCTAAAGAAGGTGGGTCCAGGGAAGGCTTCTTAAGGAGGCCTCACTACCGCCTCCTTCAAGGCAGTGGGAAAGAGCCCCTCTCTCAATGAAGCATTGGTAATCACCTGGAGCCAGTCTCGTGTCACCTCCTGGGAAGTCGAAACTAACCAAGAGGGACACGGGTCCAGCACACAAATGGCAGCACTGAGTCTCCACATAATCCTGTCCATGCCCTCCGGGGTCACAGGGTCAAACTCATCCCAGATAGTCTCCACAAGATTCATCCCCATCAACTCGCTCGAATCTACCCAATCAGAGTCCAAGCCTGTCCAGATCTGAGCGATTTTATCCTGCAGATACTGAACATATTCTTCAGCCCTACCCAGGAGGGGTCATTTCCAGTTCCTTGGTTAAGTAAGGAGCGGGTTACCCTAAACAGGGCGGCTGTGCAGTTATCTGCGGACGCGATAAGAGCAGAAAAATGTTGCCGCTTTGCCGCTTTTATCGCCACTAAGTAGGATTTAATATGAATTCTTACTAGTGTTCAATCGGATATGGACCGGCTGGCCCTCCAACCACTCTCTAGGCATCTTTTCCGGCGTTTCATCTCCCGGAGCGCCTCAGTAAACCAGGGAGCTACCCGGGATCGACACCGAGTCAGAGGCCACAAAGGCACAACGCAATCCAAGGCCCCAGTGGCTACCCTATCCCAGGCTTCTACCAGGGCTTCGGTCGAGCTGTGAGCAAGGGATTCAGGAAAAGTCCCAAGCTCCATCAGAAACGTTTTAGGGTCCATCACGCACCTGGGGCGGAACCATCTATTCGGTTCCGCCTCCCTGCAGCGAGGGTTAACAGTATGGAAGTCAAGCCTGATGAGGAAATGATC